TGTGTTTAGATTTGACCTGTGTGTTTAGATTTGACCTGTGTGTTTAGATTTGACCTGTGTGCAGCTTATACTCATCGTCAGTATTGCCCTGATCAGGTGTGTGCGTCGCTCGCAGCTCACCATATATCTATAAACGCACTGCTCTTTCCAGGTCAGAACTCATTTCAAGTTGACAAAATGACTTCAGTGACTTTATGATTTTCAAATACAGACTGGACTGGACCTGAATCCCTGTCAATTTTGATCTGTTTTCTGTAAAAATGTCTGCGTTGTTGTAAGCGTACAGCACGTGAACGGAACAGTGAAGCGCAGCATGAACGTACAGTAGCGTCCAAAAAGCAGCAGGCCATCAACGAACAAAGAGAAGAAAGAAAAAAAAAAAACACACCTTTTTTTCTCACTGCGTAAAGTGTTCCTGTAGAGAAGCAGCAAAAGACACTGAGTCACAGTGGAACATGAAGTACTACTGCGAGTACTACTACAACGTTTCTGAAAAAGTTATGAATACAAATGAGTCCAAATTGTAACTTTACTTTAGCCTAGAAATAGTTAGCATAGTTAGCATAAAATGGAGGGAAGCATTGACATTGACATGGTTGGACTCTTCAGCTTTGTGAAATGTACCGTCATCTTCTCCAGGAGCGATCAGGTTGGCAGCAAATCTGTACAAGACACTGATCACGTTTCCAGACTCTTCCACCACGTCGTTCACTGCCTTCATGGGGTCAGAGCCCAGCTTGGTCAGGCCTCCTGGTGGAGCAACAATGCAGGTACAACACACACACACACAGAACACATATAAGAGACGTAACAATCTGCGGGTCGGCCTCACGGATGCTGTTCCTCAGGAACTGAAGCAGGACCAGGACAGTCCAGTGAAAGCTTCTCATCCTTCACTCCAACATTCAGTCACTGCAAACAAAACCTCAGTTTGTCTGCAGTGAGGAATGTGAGCAGACAGAACAAGTGGACGTTAAACTGAGGAGGGGTATCGCTGACGTCACTCTTGACAACCCACCACACAGTTTAACTGCTGCAAGATGCTAACACTTTAAAATAATAATCAACCTCACACTGACCCACATTCATACACTTGAAAACGAACTTTAGAACAAGAATCCAAACCAAGAATCTGGGTCAACAAAGACCCATAATTCATTGCTAAATGTGGGCTGGACAGACCATAAACCAGACACGGTGCCATGTAACTTTTCATTTGTCCAAAGCCTAAAAATAACGTTAATATCAAGCATGACTTTTGAAGCATTGGCGTTAGCTAATATTAGCGGCTAGTGTTACATTATAGTCAGCCTGGTATTTGATGTGTTAGTAGCAGGTAAAGTTTCTTGCCTCTAGGCCCTGAATCCTTTAAAACCTTCCTGGCGAGGGGAGGAGGGCGATCTGGTCGGGGGAGAAAGACAGGTTGCAAGAAAGCAGTAAATATTAGGAGGCGAGAGGGAGACTGTGTGAGAGAAACAGGGCCTTGAAGATGGACTGTACGATCACAGTCAAATATAAAGTGTTCACCAAGTTTCTGCGATCTCTGCCTTAATTAAAACTGGGCAAAAAAAGAGACCAGTTCTTTCCCGGGATGTAACGATCAATCATGGATCCATTAGATATCCATACAAATGTGTACATTGGCACCGATGAATCGCTCATCAAGGTGTAAGGAGTAGACTGAGTTATCTCACAAAGTCACTGGTCAGACCATGACGCTACCCACTCCAGTACAGTAGGTGGCAGTGTGCTTCTAAAACATTGGTTGTGACCCACTATCAAACCCAGACGTCAGGTCCTACGTAGGCTGAGAGACGTTCAGGTGTCGGAACAGAACGTGGGAAGAGCCGGTTCCACAGACACCAACAGAGTTCTCCAGTGGAACTGTTTCCACTTCCTGTTTCTTCTCTTCTTCTTCTGTTGTTGTTTCATATATTAACAGTTAACCAGGTCAACCAGACCAGACCAGTTTGACCAGTTTAACCAGAGCAGATCAGTGGAGATGTTTCAGAGTTTCTGGACAGAAATGGGACTTTTTGTCTCTTCTGTTATTGAAGAGAACAATGTCAGTGGATGAGGTTCACAGACCATGTCAGTGGATGAGGTTGACAGACCATGTCAGTGGATGAGGTTGACAGACCATGTCAGTCTGTGATGGGATTTTACGCAGTTCTTAATAAATAAAGGATCATTGGATTTGGTCACAGTTTCTCTGGATCTTGATCAAATCAAGGAATCACATCGCATCGTGAGTCGATTGTATCGTTACATCTCTAGTTGTGTCAAATCCTCTGAAAGAAAATAATGTTTATTGTTTTGACGCTGCACACACTTTCAAAGTGAGTGTGAAACATTTGTGAAAACGTAGGAAATAATGGTGAATATATTAATGTGAGGGTTAGAACGATGAGTTTGTTGAGAGCAGCGATGATGTTGGTGACAGAGTTACTGTTAGAGAGCCACGCTCGCTACATCAGAGGGAAGTCAGAGAATCAGTTCACTTTAGTTACCTCCGNTTCCCCCCAAACACAGCACAGTCGCTGGAAGAACCAAACAAACTCCTGGTTGTACCTGAAATTGCTTTGTGGTCCATCAGGTCAAACATGATGACAAAAACACAGGACCAGGTGACGATGAGAGCCAGGACTAAGATCCAGGCCAGGGGGGAGCTGAAGGTAGAGTACAGGTCATCTGTGAAGGTCTTCTTCCGTGCGGACGCCGAGCCGGCGTCTGCCGTCTTACTGTCGATGACCATGGTGGTGGTCGTCGATGTCCGTGCTGAGGAGTGAAGTTTAAGAGAGTGTGGTCAGGGACCCAGGGTCCTTCATGACCAGGAGGTCAGAGTGGCGACTGGTGTCAAACCAAGGACACGTGTGATTCACTCACTGTATCACCATGATAACATGTGAGATCAACAGGACGCTGTCGGACGTAAAAGCTAACATTTGGTCGAAGCGCTAACTGAACCAAACTGTTTCAATATTGTTGATGCAGTTTCAGGAAAGACAACATGAGTTAGAAGCCAGTGAAAGTTACTTCTACTTATTATTATGATTATGATTTCACTGTTACTTTCACATGCAAATATTTGTAGTAATACTTGATAACTGCTTACTTTCTTTCCATCCATCCATCTGTCATCCATCTAACATCCATCTAACATCCATCACATCTATTCTGTATGTTTGTCCTGACTGAATAATTAATAAACAAGTAAACAAAACAATTAAAAAAATATATCAACTTATTAATGCTAACACGTTGTCCAGTTTAGCCCAAGTGTTGACGTGGATAATTACGAACTGGACAGAACTGACTGTTGATCAGAGTTTCCAGTCAAGTTTGTGGAACTATTCCACTGCTTTGTGTCTTCCTGTGGCCAAACACGCTGATCTTCCATAGCTGTGTGTGAACGCTGACTGATCTGACACTGAACTGTCACAGGAGGCTGGAGGCAAACAGCAGATACATGATAGCAGCATATTTTTAGACGCTTCCAATCACCAAAATTCTCCAACAGACACCGCACAACACAACACAAACCTGACAACTTTACCTTCCATAGCTTCAGTCATACTTTGAATTCAGACACTTTCTTCCAACAGGCAGATCCTTTAGGTGTGGATTTAGGTTGTCATTTAAAAATATCCACAGCCGATCCTTTATTGTGAGGTTAAATCCAAAACGGCAGATTGTCGTGGCCTCCGCTGGTGCAGCGGGGACGGGTTTGTTTTGTCAAACGTTTTACATTCCCTGCTCTTCAGTGGACACGTTTCCTCCTGGAGTCTCTCCTGTGAAGTCCAACATGTAGAACCAAACTCCAGACGGACCTGGTTGACTTGTGTCCCGGTGGCTGAGGCCGGAGGAAACACAGAGACAGACAGACAGACAGAGACCAAACTGAGGTGGTCACTGTCTTTGCCCTCTGCCTGTTGGGGCTGGTGTTGTAGAAGGGGCAGCTCCTGGACCCCCCGGCTCCCTCCCACCCTCCACCAGCTCTGACAGATTTAGATCCACTGTGGGGACCAGTGGACGATGTTAGAGGAAGAAGGTTTGAGAAGTGTGAGGGTAACTTTATCCTGCAGCAGTCAGAGCTGCTGCTGCTGCTGGAGTCATGTGATCACAGGCTGGACACAAGTGGTGGTCAATGGTCTGGTTGATTTTTTTTTTTTTTTTTTTTTAGAAAATCCCCATAAATACGGGACGATTTCAGTTCCACAAAGATGTTATGGAAAGTGTTTTTGAGCAGCAGTAGAAGTTTGACAGCAGTCAGAAGTTGAATGTTCACACTGCAGCTCTGAGCCTCAGGCCCTGAGTTATTCTTAGAGCGGTTGGCTGCTGCGGCTGCTATTCTGCTTCGCCTTTTTAGGCCAGAGGCATGACCTCAACACCCCACCTCCACCAGGCTCCCACCCATGTCGACTAAACCCCCAGACCTCTCCCAGAGAGAGAGAGAGATGGTGGTGGTAAAGACAGAACCATGACGTCATGGCAGTGAAAATAGACACGTGACCCACGTGGGCTTCATGTACCAACTGGACATAGCGGTGCACAAGCTTTTTTTGGGTTTGTTTGGTAATCTAACCAATATCAGGTTAATTTTCCTAATTTGTAATCAGAGCCGGCTCTTGATGGAGGCCACATAATCCTAGAGTGCCCTCTGCTGGGTGGTGTTATGCAGCAGGCCCACATGAAAACAAATAAAAACAAGACACAATTTGCAGTTTACAATAAATAGCTCAAACATGGAGAAAAGATTTGCTGTCACTGAGTGACACCTGCACTGCAACCATTTAAAAAATAAAACATTTATATTTGCCATCCATCTATTTTTATCCACTTATCCGTTAACAGGTGGCGAGGGCAGCAGTCGCCACAACCGCCACCCAAATCACGCTGCACCGTATCAACCCCCCCCCCCCCCCCGCCTCCCCCCCCCCCCCCCCCGACCCTTCCGGGGGGGGGGGGGGGTGAGTCCACTGGAAGGTTCCAACTGCCCGGGAGGTGAACCCTCAACCCCCACTGAACAGAAAATTACTCGTAGAATTTCATTAAATGATGTCTTTATTTTACAGATATTAATGAATATTTTATTAGTGTGTGTGGTTGTGTTTTACCAACCATTTAACCTTTAAAGTCTGTCATATGGCTGTTTACATCCCTGTTTGGGTTGGGTACTGCAGTCTAGGTGACGGGGGAGGGGCAACAAACCGTAATCTCACTTTGGGCATCAGTGGTTGATACTTAGTAACGACGTCAGCAAACATTTAAGACACAGACCATCGTAACATTTTTATAATGTTTGTTGTTCCAGAAACAAATCAGATGGAGCTGAATCAGAATTAAACGATACATCTCTAGAATGAGAACCCATCTGTCCCAGAACTGTTGACCAACTCTGGTACACTACACATTGTCAACCCACTCAGACAAGTTGTTGTTGTTCATGTACGTGTCATGCAAGGACTTATTTTCCATCTTACTGAATATGACTGTTAAAACCACCACCGCCACCACCAGCCCTGCCAACAGACTGACCTTCAAACCTGGGAACCCACACAGAACGAAGTTAGTCAGCCGGGAGAAAAATAGTTCCACAAAGTTTCTGACAAATACAACACTGATCGTCTAACAATTTTCAGAATCCACCAACAGTACTTACAGTTAATGACATTTTTACAGGAAGAGCCCTGCAGAGAGAAACAGAAAACAGTTCATTTAGTTGTTTCTTGTCCTTTGACTAACTTTAAATGAACACTTTTGTAGTTTGTATACCGTATAGCTATTGGTTTAGCTTTGTAACTAGCTACATTTCGTGTGATCTCTTGGCTAATGTTCACCACGTTTGCTAACTGAATTTAATTCAGTCCCACATTTAGCCTTTGTCCGATGATGATTGACAAACTTAGGCTAGTTTGTTGTCTTCTCGACTTTAAACTTTAAAACTTTAAATTCATAATTAGCTGATGTGATGTTCTCTAACGTCGAGGTAATGTTTATGTTTTTATCTAATAAAGTAACATTTGGGCTGTAACTGATTCAATGATTAGCTGTTCTTGCCTTATACGTAGGCCAAGGTCAATTGTTTACACTGTGATAACTGGCAGGGTCATCAGCTACCTTTTACTGGAACAAATAGTCTGCAATATCATAGACCACCATTCTGGCAGTAACCAAACAAAATATTACAGCTGTGTGCACTGGTTTCCTGTTCAGATACCTGTTCCAACCCCAAAAACTTCAGAATTTCTGAAGATGCCTCGTCGTTTGTGTTGCACTTCAGCAGCTGGTCTTTGTAGAAAAGACAGTCAACGGTGAGGTGGACGTTAGGATTCTCCACAGATCTGTGACTTTGAATGACAGTCTGCTGAGGATCGTGGTGGTAATGCATCACCACCAGGATGATGGGTTTACCAGCTGTGAACAGATAATAAC